TCTCTGGTTTTCTAGAGCTGTTGTAGCAGACGCACCTTCCGTGGGTGGCTTTAGATGACAGAAATGTGCTCCCTCACAGCTCAGGAGAGCGGAGGTCAGGCTTCAGGGCACCGCCTCCAGCAGAAGGCTCTCTGTCCATTCTGCGGGAAGGAAGGTCCTTGTCCCTCTGCTTCTCCTGCTCAGTTCCTTGGTGACATCCAAGTGGCATCAACCTTTCCTCTTTGTGCTTGTTTGCTCTTGTGCCTAAGAGGCTCCTTTCTGTCTCCAAGATGAGTGGTGGCCTTGTTAACGTGGTGAAGAAAACGTCAATCCCAGATGAGATTACACCCCAGTGAACAGGGTCAAAATTTACCACACAAGTATCTTGGGGATGCAAGTCAATCCATAACAAAGCTTTTGATGGCCTTTCATGCTTTGATCAAGGACTTTCATGTGACACTGAATATATATATATTTTTTAAATGTCAAAGCAAAGAGCCCTCTTCATGTCAGCTTCAGGAATCACTTTTCAATTCGGCCCCTTCATGGGTGTCCATCTTGGCTCCAAAACTGCATTTGTTTTGTGGCATTTTCCACCTCAGCTCATCTTCCCTGGGTAAGGAGCTATTACAGTATTAATCAATTTCAAGGTTTTTGAATAAATAGCTATAAATATTTACGCCTTTGCTTTGCCTATTAGGGAAAATGCCATCTAAGATCATTCTTTTCCTCTGCCTGACAGGAAGATCTACAGAGAGGACAGGGCTATTTTAACCTCCGAGCAAATTCGGAAACCTTGAGCCTAGACGGCCTCTCTACACCACAATTATTCCTGTAGCGCAATATGCCAAATTCCTGGATGCTTACGGGGAAAAGCGCTCAGAAAACATGAAACAATCTAAAGTTATGGCTTGATTTCCCAACACAGTCCAGCTTAGCTTTCCAACTTTGGTTTTGCATCTTTGGTTCCTGCTACGTTGAGTGGGTGTCACCTCTCTCCAAATACATGCAGTCTGAGGGCAGGGACCCAGGCTGATCTGGTTTTATACCCGCAGTGGCACTATGCCGACACAGTGAGCAGGCTGAGTGTTTCCCGAATGTGGGAATCATTATTTCTGAGAAGCAGTTTTAGCTCAGTCAGTGGGCAGTGCAAAGGTCTAAAGAGAGCCTGATTTTGGCATTTCTTAACCAAGAAGCTTGGACATGTTACTTCTTACCTCAGTTACCTCACTGAAAACATGGACCTGGTGTGATGTCCCTTATGGGTCTGTTATAAGGATGAACCACCACCTGTCCATCAGTTTGTCATACTATGGCAGCCTGCATGTTGCTATGAGGCTGGAGGCTATGCTGCTGGTACTTCAAACGCCAGCAGGGTCACCCATGGTGGACAGGGTTCAGTAGAGCCTCTAGACTAAGACAGACTAGGAACGAAGCCTGACGATCGACTTCCAACAAGTAGCCAGTTAAGCCATATGGATCCCCCAATACCGTCTGAGGCTCTGACTCACCTCCTTTGGGTGCATCACCAGGAGGGACCGATTGCTGGAGAAGGACTTCGTGTTTGTGAAGGTGAGGGAGACCCTCCGTGAGGCGGATGGACACAGTGGCTATGCCAATCGACTCAAGCAGTGATCATGAAGACAGTGCAGGACCGGGTGCCGTGCTGCTATTACTTGTAAGGCTGCCATGGGCCAGAGTAGCTAACAGCAGCAACAGCAGCGGCTGAGAGGAAGTACCTATGGTGCCTGGCATGCGGCAGACACGCCCCAAATGGTGGCTCTTCTTTATTATTACTTGTACTGTGGGTCTCAGGAGAGGGATGAAGGCTCAGTGCCACTGAGGACAGAGCGTGTACCAGAGCATGTTAGCCTCTGTGTATTACAACCCACTGCTGACAAGTCCATTCTGACTCACAGTGAGTGGACCTATAAGACCGAGCAGAACTACTCCACAGGGTTTCCAGGCTGTGATCTTTACAGAAGCAGACTGCCGCATCTTTCTCCCACAGAGTGGCTGGCGGGTTCAAACCTGTGACCTTTCAGTTGGCAGCCAAACATTTAATCACTGTGCCCACCGGGACTCTTGTGTATTAAGAGGTTCAAAATTACCCACATTTGCTCAAAGCATGTTTAGCAGGTACACTTAGTGTAGGAGATGGAAGGTTATCAAACACAGTGAGAAAAGATGCCAGCAAATGATTCAGTAGGCTGAGCAATGCTCCCCACCAAGAAAGACGATGTCTACCTCCTGATCCCTGAAACCTATCAATATGTTACCTTAGCTGGGAAAAGGGACTTCACAGATGTGATTAAAGGAAGGATCTCGAGATGGGGAGATTACCACTGATCATCTGGGTGACCCTGATGGAATCACAAGGGTCCCCATAAAAGGGAAACCAGATGGTTAGAGTCAGAAAAAGCAGCGAGAGGCTAGAAGATGCTATGCTGTCACTGAAGGAGGATGGGGCCGTGAGCCAAGGAGGGCAGGCAGCCTCTAGCAGCTGGAAAAGACAATGAAGCAGATTCTTCCCCAAGCCTCTGAAAGAAGCCAGCCCTGCCAACAATTTGACATCAACCCCAAACCAAACCCAAACCCACTGCCATCGAGTTGATTCCAACTCACAGCAATACCCATTGGGTTTCTGAGGTGCTAAATCTTTGCAGAAGTTAGACTGCCCTGTCCTCCTCCTGCAGAATGGCTGGTGGGTTTGAACCACCAACCTTCTGGTTAGCACTGCACCACAAGAGCTCTTTGACATTAACCCACTAAGGCTGATTTTGGACTTCTGACCTCCACTAACTCTAAGACAATACATTGCATTGTTTCACACTACTAAGTTATTTGTGGTTGTTTCTTACAGCAGCGATAGCAGACTAATACAATGAGTAACAGTGGGGGTTAGGGGAGGTCAAGATACTCAGAGGAAAAAACCTGAACTATCTGGAACATTTTGTCTCTGTGGCTACTGCTGTCCCTGGTGACACTGGGTGGCTGAAATGCTATTGAACACAGGCAGCCATTTGTGTCACCAGCAGAGACCTGATCTTTATGCAGATGAACTTGAAAGCCATTTTTATTCCTAAAAATGCTGCCGTTCCTGTCACCACGCTCTCACAGCATCTGGTGGGTGTTAAAGGGAGCCAGCACCGCTCATAATCATGGCCTGCTTAATGCCTGTCAGCCAGTAAATGGCTGCAGAATAAACACTGCATCAGGAGGAGGTATTTTTGGCTGTGCCTCCTCCCTGTTCTTTGTGTTTGAAAATTATGACTAGTTGAAGCTTACGCTATAAGCCTGCAGGCACTAATGTGTGCACTTCTTTTGGAGGGGAGCCCCTACATGTTTTGTTTCAAGGTAAAATGTCACCTTTGACCACCTGGTGCAGACCTTAAGTGCCTACGTGAAGTCCATGTTTCCGTGTTGTCTAGGAATACAACAAACCTTTGCTGAGGAACAGAAGTTAGTTTCTGGTTCAGAATAATGCCTACTATTGAGGGTTTACTGAAGGAAAACCAAACCAAAAAAAAACCCCAAAACCAGAGCCAGTTGCCATCAAGTCAGCTCTGACTCATGGCAACTCCGTAAATGTCAGAACAGAACTGTGCCCGTAGGGTTTCCAATGGCTGATTTTCTGGAAGGAGATCACTAGGAGGAGCTCTGGTGGCCTAGTGGTTAAAGCATCCAGCTGCTAGCCATAAAAAAGGTCAGCAGTTCAAATCCACTAGCTGCTCCGTGGCAGAAAGATGAGGCAGTCTGCTTCCATAAAGAATGACAGCCTTAGAAGCCCTATGGGATGGTTCTACTCTGTCCTATAGGTTCATTATGAGTTGGTATCAACTCAATGGCAGTGGGTTTTTTTTCTTTGTTTGCTTGTTTAGACCATTAAACCAAAAACTGGGTCTCTCTTTCCAGGCATGTCTAGATGAACTTGAACTGCAACCTTCGAGTCAGCAGCTGAACATGCTAACCTTTCCACCACCCAGGGACCACGGAGGGTCTAAAATCAAAAAAACAAACCCACTGCTGTCGAGCCAATTCCGACTCACTAGATATAAAATGTTGTATTAGGCACTTTTGTCCTCACAGCAATTCTACAAGGAGGATATTATTATCCCTAACTTGCCACTATGGAAACAGGGGTCAGAGAGGCTAAGTAACTTGCCTGAGTCACCACAGCCTGTACCCAACAGATGCTCATGCTGGTCTGACTTGTAAGCTAGTGCCTCACAGGTAAGTGCATGGGACAGTCCCTGGAACAAATTCCACATAAGCCACTAACAGCTAATAAGAGGGCCCCATGAAGGGCAGACGGCTGGCCCAACTTTGAATTCCACCATGCTGGAGCTCAGTTAGGAAAAGACCATTGCATGCACAGGGCTGTGTGCTGACACAAAGTTGGTTACACTATAACCCAGGGTTACAGGCCCTTCTCTCACGGTTTGTAAGAAGCTTCAAAAAGAAGAAGAAAAGGATTCATTATGTGATATAACAAAGACAGAGCTGCAGGGTCAGTTTTAAAGATATGAATTTTGGAAACATTTTGCTTCTGATGACATCACAGTGTACTTCCTGGATTAGACACCATGACCAGTTCTAATGTTCAGAGCACTAACCACTCTGATTTTGCTAAAATACCAGCATTGGAACCACCTTCTAGACCAGCGTTCCCTGGTGGAACATTTCACAAGCAACTCCCACCCTCTTCTCATCCCCCCTGCTCCCACCCTGACAGTGTTCCTTAAATGGTTTTGACCACAACAATGTGAGAAATACATTTACAATGCAACCAGCTCATGTAGATGTATAATAAGAACAAAAGTTCCTTAAAACAATTCTTATTCTTACCTGGTGCAATGAGTGTGCATATATATTGTTTTCTATATTAAAAAAATTAAAATGCTGGCCATGACCCACACACTGAGTTAGTGATTCACTAGTGACTCTATACCCCACGAATGGGTTGTCCTCGCAGTTTGAAATGATGGTCTAGAAAACTTGGAGGACTGGAGCCCCCTTACCTCTGGGGCAATGTAATCTGGAGTCCCACAGAAGGTCCTGGTGGTGACGCCATCCATCATGTGTTCCTTGCACATCCCGAAGTCAGCAATCTTGATATGTCCTTCTGAATCCAGCATGACATTATCTAACTTCAGATCCCTGCAAGGAAGCAGGCCAGCATCAGTGCCCTGCCATGACATCACATGGTCTGCTTGGAGCTGATGAGAGGTTATGTGACCAGCTGTCATGTCAGTGGTACATTATTGCTAAGCTTCTTCAGGGCAGGGACCAAGACTTATTGCCTTTTTGTATCTCCAGAGTCTAATACAGTGTCTGGGACAAGAGACATACTAAATGCAAACTGAATGACTGAGTGAATCAATGGCTGAACTTCACTGTGCATGAGCATCACTAGAAATTCCAATTTTGCAGGTTGGGGACATGCTCGTCATTTCATCTGTTCATATGCTGCATGGGGGTTCTGACACACAACTAGGTTTCCAAAACTCTGGGTTTTAGGGTAACCTCACCGTATCCTGTACGAGTCCCTTCCATTCTGCCTAGTGCCCCATATCCTTGGAATCACTCTTCAGTTAATTCTGGGAGACCCTCCTTTCTCTAGCACCAGACTCGCACTAAGAATTTAATTCAACGGTTCTCTCCTCGCCTCTCCTCAGCTCCCTAACTTCTGCTATCAAGCATCTGTAGCAGAAATTCAGTTTCCACTGCTCCCTGACCTTAGTTCCAAATAAAGGTCGAGGAAGGAGCTGTCAGTGGAGAGGATAACATGTTTGCTGGAGGAAAGCAGAAATGAGAGAGAAAATCTTTGAGGTCTGGAAATCTGAAGGTGGTTCTGCTTTGCCTGGAGGTGGTACACAAAGGCGGTCCCAGCAGGTCTCTGCTACCTCAGGGGTCACGGACTCCATGTCTTAAGTCATCGTCACAGAATTACACGTCAGAGAAGTCCAGCCAAACTCTTGGCTGCGTTGCTGGTATAAGAGCTTTGATACACACCTGTAGATGATTCCTCTTTTATGAAGAAAGAACAAGCCAATGGAAATCTCTGCTGCATAGAATCTGCACAAAAAAGAACAACAAAAGCTTATCAGGTTCTTGGGTTTCTGTCTGGTGTCTCTGGACTCCTGGCTACGTTTGCCCTCCAGCCGAGGCACACAAGAGAGGAAAGGATGTAGAACCCTGTGCCTGTCTGAGATTAGCACTGTCCTTCACAGGTTCTTCCAATCCTTCATCTTGCCCGCCTCCATTTCATCACTCCAGCTTTCCCAAGGAAAAGACACAGCTCATGAAACTGGTAAGGCAGGCCCAGAAACAAGTGCTTCTTGTCTGAGGCAGGTGGACAGGTCGTCTCCTGTTCACAAAGACATTTCTAATACAACACAAAGAGTGGATACCCACCACACGATTCAATGGCTAGGTTACAGAAGACCATTCTGCCTGTTCATGGACAGAACCTATTGGAGTTTGAAAATACAATTCCTGCCTGGGAGACAACGC